AAAAAGAGAGAGATACAACGCATTCCAGCTCGCTCGCGCGCATTCGCCCCACGAACTCGGAAAGTGTGGCGAAGAACTTGGTAGAGGAATGGAATGACGCACGGATGCTTATAATCGACGAAATTTAATTCGCGGGGGAACTTGACTTAGTGAAGATATTCCACTACACCATGACCTTGATGCAAGACGAATACCAACCATTTGGGGTACTTAACGTGGTGTTCGCGGGGGACTACTCTAAACTTGAACCAGTGGGACGCCCCCAATTTACAATCTTAAGCACACCATTCATGAATTTCATGACTCTTTGAATTCATTTATTTAGTTAGATGGAATGCACCGCTTAAAAGACGATCCTGAATGGGGGCAACTCTGTTTAAGATTCCGTGAAGGGCGACCAACAGAATAAGATATTGAGACCATCATTGACGCCTGCGTGGTTGGTCCAACCCATGTTCCACCATAGAACATTCAAGTTGTTACTTATCTGAATCGAGATTGAGATGCCATTAACTCAGTTATCTTCGAAGAATTTTGTGGGAAGAACAAACCTGCTTATGATTCCGTTCTGATGGATGCAGTACTCATTTTTCATGTGACGATCTTCAAATTGCCAATCAAGCAGGTACACTTGTTCCTGTTAAGATCAATTCGTTTTTTAAAGCACTTCTTTTCAACATGTGGAGAAAGACTCGTTAAAACCCGGTTCGGCTACGAAAACGTGTTGATCCTGCTTTGAAGTTATATAAGGGGTGTCCTGTAATGTTTACAGAGAACACGAATGTTCCGAATGGAGAAGCCAATGGATCTCGAGCTTTTTGTGAGAAAGGTGAATGTGAGGCATAGTTGCACCCCCATGTTTTTAACTCGACAACGGCTGCAAGATTCGGGCTTTTTTTCAGGCAAGTCAAATCTATCCTTGTGGAACATGAAATGGAGGGACTATTATGCCACGAACTTTTATGTAACGGAGCAAGACTAAACTTTCAGTACCAGTTGGTTTTATGACGGAGAATTGTACCACCAAGATGAAGGGTAAGCAGTTTCCGATTATCAGCAAGTTCTGCGACAACTGACACAAATTACAAGGGATTATACTGCAGTGTGGTTATTGTACATTAATGGCGAAACTGTCAAAAACTGGGCTTACGTGGTGTTATCAGAGGGTGGAACCATGAGTGGCTTTGTTCATTATTGAAGAAGCTGGATTGGGATCCAAAGAACTTTGCCATGCCACAACGAAAGAGAGACATGCTTGCAAGATATTAAGGATACTATTTGGCCTTTCTGTCCTAGGAGAGAAGATCAATAGCGATGAATATGTTCCAGCGAGGAGACTGGTTCTTGTTATAAGTATAAACGGTAGAGATATAGGGTAAATTAATCTATATATAAAAACTTTTATACTACAACTACCTTTCTAAGATTCGCATTGCACCTCGTACGTCATTCAATGTCAGTCATGAAAAAAGATCAAGCGTCCAATCAAATCACAGGCGACCCCGAAAAATTGGGAGCCAACTTTTAAAATGTGAGAAGCAAGGCGACTTTCATGTGCATGTACATGCGTTGACTGTATCCCGTCAATACAATACTAGTCGAATACGTAGACTTCTACAGGGCCTTCTAAGTAATGCGCGCGGGGTATAATTCAAACCTCTGCCCCCATCCGTACCATTACCCCTAAAAGCAAGTCGTCTCCAGGAGACGAAATTTTTTATGGGGGGTTAGAGTAGGTAGATTATCTACGGAAGCCAGCCGGGACCATACACATATACAATAAGAAAAGGGGTTAGGTAGGTTATCCCATTCACATGTTCTGAGGAGGTTGGATCTACGTAGGCCAGAGTAGCTGGTAGTATTGAAAAGTTTAGCTTACAAAAAATAGAGCCTACGTCATCGCATCAGACCTAACTTTAACCTAATCGAAGCGATATCCAATCTTTGCGGAAGAAAAGAAAACATCGGCAATGGCGACTGCTGCTCATTAGATGCCTATGGCAGCCTCCCTTTTGGCTTTTTTGGCTTCCTTCTTGTTGTTAACCCTCGCTAGAGTGTCCTGTTTCCGCTTGGTGCCAGTGGATTGCTTGATTGATGCATCATACTTGTCGATTTCGCGTTGCACTTCTGGCGATCTGCGTCTTCTCAACTTGCGACGGATGCATTTCTCTCGCTGCTCATACGATCTGGTACCACGGAACCTGTCTCGCAAGACCTTCAAAGTTTGGTGGAATTTCTCAATGGTGTCATCAGCCTTGTCCGCAAGTCCTCCAAAAGTCTTGACTTGGTGTAAGAGATGCCCATCAAACGTGAGATGCCATTTTGGTTGCAGAGTCGAGAGTCCCATTGCGAGCCAAAGTTTCTTGCATTCCACCAGAGCTTTTCCAGGTATTGGATTTGTTCATTGGTGGGCAAAAGACCTGCATCCAAGCCCGTCACAGTGGACCAAATGGCATCAAGCAAAGCAAAGAGTCGCGCAAATTCTTGGCACTTTGTTGTGATCGTGTCAGTACTGATGGTTGCTATCTTGGCCTCAAGGCATCTCTGGAGGAATCCCTCTTCATTGTCAGAGCCAAGGAACAGTTCTTGTGACTTCTCCATTATGCGAATGCAGTTTACTCCGTTGAATTTGCCACCATGGTAGTGCTCTCTTTTGATCCCTTTGTTGGAAAAGATTGACTCGAATTGCTGGGTGAGTGATGCTTTTTTGGCATTATGGCGCTGGATCAACTCATCATAGTACTTTTCCTTTGCTTTGGACTCTTCCTTTTTTGCTTTGATTCTAGCTTTGTCTGTCTCCTTCTCAAGTTCTTTGGCTTGTTTGTTGACTGGGTTTGCAGTGGCAACAGTCTTTGGCCTGCTTCTTGTTGGTGAGTCTGATTTGGCTGCTGTTTGGTGTTGCTGTCTTGCGAGCTTGTAGATCTCTCGTGACGCCTCAGTCTCCTCATGATTGTAGTCTTCTACCTCCAAGTTTATCCAATGCTTGAAGGTCTCCAGCGCCTTGTCTACCAAACCCATAGGACAGTGAAGTACAATACACGGCTCTTAGCCTTATTCGCGACTCGATCCTAGATAGGGTTTGAGTTTGACTCATGACTGAGTCTCTCGTGAATAGTCATTTGAGACAGGGTTCTCAATGACCGCGCTGGTCAT